AATCATATATCTGAAAAAAGTCTAGTATCCAGGATATATAAAGAACTCTCACAGTTCAACAATAAAAAGACAAATAACCCAATTTTTATAAATGGGCAAAACGTCTGAATAAACATCTTTCCAAAGAAGATATAAAATGCCCAATAAGCACTCGAGAAGATGCTCAGCATCATCAGTCATCAGGGAAATGCAGATCAAAACCCCAGTGACCACTGCACCCTTGTGAGAGTGGCTGCAGTCAGAAAAGCAGACTGTTGGGCTTTTTTTTTCTCTTTTGTGACCGGTAAGGGAATCGCAACCCTTGGCTTGGTGTCCTCCGCACCACGCTCAGCCAGTGAGCGCACCGGCCATCCCTATATAGGATCCAAACCCGCGATGGGAGTGCCACTGCGCTCCCAGCGACACACTCTCCCGAATGCGCCACGGGGCCGGCCCGTGTTGGGCTCTTTTACCTGCATGTAATCCTGCCGACTGGGACAATTGTTGAGCTAGGGCTGGGTCTGGAGCTCACAGACCCCTCAAGCCCACTGTCCAGACTGGGTCACAAACCCTTCAGATGCCAGGCTGAGTCTCCAGATCTCTCACATGCCAGGCTGTGTCCCCAGACCCCTCACACACAGGTCTATGAGCTAGGTAACATGCAAAAACATCCTTGAAGCCATAGGTTTGAGAGCATGGCTGTGCAGGGCAGACACCCAAGGCAGTAGATGCCAGCCAAGCCTCAGCCCCACGCATATGCACTAACTCCACCCACACACACTTATTTACAATGAATGTGCTGCACCACCCCCAAAGGTCCCAACACAGACAATGATATGAGCCTGCCGGATGTGGAGAAGCTGGAATCCCCATTCATTGCTGGTGGGAGTGTGAAATGGCACCACCGCTGGAACACAGTCTGGCAGCTCCTCAAAAAGTTACACATGAGTTACCACGTGACCCAGTAATTGTACTGCTAGGTATTTACCTAAGAGAATCGAGAACATATGCTCACACAAAAACTTTACATGAACATCCACAGCAGCATTATTCATGATAGCCAAAAAAGTGGAAACAACCTAGATGTCCATCAACGGGTCAATGGATAAACTAAATGGCCGAGTCGAGGAGGTGAGCACAGCCTGCCTTAAAGAGAAGCAAGACTTGAGAGGAGGTGACGGGCTGGTGGAGCTGGAGACGAGGCCGTGGAAGGAGAGAATCACACGGAGGCCCAGGAAGGCTGAAGCCAGAACATTCTAGAGGACGGCCAATAAATCTCCAGGCAGGAAAAGAGCTGGAGCGAAGACTCGGGGGTAGGAAGACCTGTTGAACATGCCAAGGACAGCAAGCAGACGTCCTTAAGGTGGGACCGCAGGGGATGAGGAGCATAGTGGACACACTACACCCTGAAAGCTCCTATCCAGGACTGGGGCCAACTCGAGGATTTGGTTGACAGGAGGTCCCAGGACTCAGCACCCTCCTGCCTCGTTGGGGGAAAGCGTACGTGAGATCTGTTGGCTGAACTTCAGACCACAGGGCCCTTCTCCTGACTTCCTCATAACAGCAGCCAAGTGTTGGCCCCTTGGCCAGACCAGCAGAGCCTGTGCAAGTGACCCAGTGTCTTCAGTGTGAGAGACTGCCCTCCCCCAGGCAGGAAGTCCCACCAGGGCCTCCTCACCTGCCCCTGCCCACCCTGGTGCCTGTGGGGCTCGGGCTGGCATTTGGCCTCTGCAGGTCCTAGCAGCCTGGGTCTCATTGTTTTCAAGTCCTCACAGACTTCAGAAAGGAGAACCTCCAACTCCCACGGCTTTTAGCTTCGCTCTTTAAACATCTGGGTCACAGATATGCTCAGTTAATTAATGTTCTTAGTGCTGCTCATTTGCCGGCTGGATAATAGATGGATTCATAGTTTCAATAAGCAGCTGTGTATATCTTTGCCCTGAACATAAAGGCAGATTGCTGTCATTCATTACGTTGCATTTGGTGAATTTAAATATACTCGGGGAGACATTGTTTAGGGAGGGGGGGGAGGGCTTCTGATTTTCTTACCATTTTGCCTGTAATAGTTACTCTGATTTGGAACTAATTTGGGTTTAAAGCACACGTTAACCGCATCTCTTCTCAAGGGCACTTAATAAACTCCTTGTCACTTGTTCAAGGGGATCATGCAAGCTCTCCTTTTGGGATCAAAGCCAAGGGTTTCTGAGTAGCTTTCATCAGGAAAAGAGAACCCCTGCAAAGAATCTTATCTGTCAGAGAAGAGCTGCTCGTGTCCCTGCGCAGGGCTACCTTCTTCCTTCATTCCTGGGCAGGAACGACCAGGCTCTCTGGAGGAGGCAGCAATCCCCAGCAATCTCGGAGGAAGACCCTCTTCTGCTCAGCTGCTGGGCCAGGGCAACCAGCCATCGGGTCTCTGGGGACCCAAGGAGAGAGTCCAGCACCAGCCAGGCGACCAGATGTCTTCACGCCTCAGTTTCCTTATCTATAAAATGGGGAGAATAATAGAACGTGTCTCACAGTGTTGTTGTGAAAATTACATTATTTATTCTCTGTACACTAGTTTGAAATGATGCACAGCATGTCTTCAATTCGTGCTAGCTGGTAATATTTTTTAACTTATTAGACACCAGCTGTATATTAATGATCACTAGTTATCTAGTACATTGGATTGTGAGAACAAACATGAAGAATTGAGCTCGATCTCACTTTGTCATCACCAGCCTGCACTGGAATCAGCTCAGTGGGGGTATAATGCTATTCTCATGTCCCCAGAAGCCTGTGCCCAGGCCAGGCACACAAAGGACTCTTTAAAATGTTCTTGAGGTGTGTCTTAGTCTGTTTTCTGTTGCTATAACAGAATACCACAGACTGGTCATTTATAAAGAAAAGAAGTATATTGCTCACAATTCTGGAGGCTGGGAAGTCCAAGAGCTGGTGCCGGCATCTGGCAAGGGCCTTCCAGGGCGGAGGGTGTCACATGGTGGGAGGGCAAGAGTGTGCCAATTCAGGTCTCTCTTCCTCCCCTTAGAAAGCCACCAGTCCCATCACAGGGGCCCCACCCTGACGAACTTATCTAATCATAAGTATCTCCCAAAGGCCCCACCTCCAATTAACACATGAATTTGGGGATTAAGTTCCCAACAATACATGAAATTTGGGGGACATGTTCAAACGATAGCATGGCGTTGAACTAAGCAGGTGTGGCTGCCTGTTCAAGTAACGGCACTCAGCGCATTTGTGATGTGCTCAACCACAAACACGCTCTGAGCACTTGGTCTGTGATTTGTTCCTAGTAAGGAATGAAATTAATTAGTCACAGTGCCTGCCCCTCAGGAGTGGGAAAGACGGGCAAATGCATGTTTTAAAATATTGGACTATGATTTTTTTTTCCTTTTTGTCTTTTTCGTGACTGGTAACGGGATTGCAACCCTCAGTGTCGCGCCCGCACCGCGCTCAACCAGTGAGCGGACCGGTCTCTATATGGGATCCGAACCCTCAGCGGGAGCACTGCCGCGCTCCCAAGCGCCGCACTCTACCGAGTGCGCCACCGGGCCGGCCCTGGACTATGATTTTTAAACAACACGTGGAGGGCAGGGGAGAGGAGGCAACTAGCTTAGTGTGAACCCTGTTGTGGGAAGGGTTGCCAGGCAACGCCATCCTGTATCAGTCAGTGGGTGCTGTGTAACACCTGCCCCAAAACATAGTGGCTTAAAACAGGGTGTGTTTATGATTGCCATGAGTCTGCAGGTAGCTGGAAGCTTCTGTGCAGGCTCAGCTGGTGTGGCTGATCTGTTCCCCTGTCAGCAGCTGGCAGGTTGGCTGAGGGCTGCTATCTGGGTGGGCCTCATCCGCTTGGCTGGTGGTTGACAGGCAATTGATTGGGCCACACATCCCGTCCTGCCACAGGCCAGCCGGGGCTCCCATACAGCTAATGGAAGCATACAAGGCCAAGGTCCAGTCTCAGAACAGGCACGTCCTCACTCCCGCTGGGCCAGAGCAGGTCATGAGGGCGACCGGTATTGAAGGGATGGGAAACAGACTCCACTTCTTGATGGACGTTGCTGCCACGTCATATCGCCACAGGCGTGTGGAAGGAAGAGAGAGTCACGTGGGCGTTCTGCAGTCTGTACAGTCTCCTCGCGTTCACGGTGGCATGTGAAGCACCGAGCGCATACCACATGCCAGGGTGGTGCCCGCGGGGTGTTTCTCTTTTTTCATCGCTGTGATATTGCAGCAAATACCCTTTATGTAAACTTTGGCTTACAATTCTGATTATTTCCATGGGATAGATTTCTAAGAGTGGATTTATTAGTCAAAGGAGATGGACATTTTAAAAGCACAAAGTATGTACTTAGAAATCCCCTTTTTGAAAGGTCGTAGTAATTTATCCTCCCTCCAGCCCAACTGTGAGTGGGCCTGTCGCGGCTAACCATGCCCAAATGCGAATATCTCTTTTTGTTTAAATGTGGTAGCTCATCGTTGTTTTAGGTTTTTGTTTCTTTTAATACCTATGAGGTTGAATGTGGCTTAATGTCTGTTTTTTTTCCAATGAAAGGGCCTCTCTGGGCCCTTTGCAGCAGGGTAGATTTAATTAGTTTCTATTTATAAAAGAAGAGGAAATAGAGACTCAGAGAGCTTAAGTGACCTGCTCAAGGTGGCCCAGCCAGCCAGGAGCAGAGCCAAGCTTCAGAAATCAGATTTTTGGCTCTTTCCTCTGTTTCTCCTCTCCCCATGTTACTCAACAGAAAGCTGGAGTTCTGAAGCTCTGCCGGAGGACGTGCTTAGAAAAAGTCAGAGAGTGGCCCCTGGGAATCTGCATCCAGGCCCAGCGAGCCCAAGGACATCGTAGAACGGGGCTGTGCTGTGCATTGGGTGAACACAGGATGGGGGCCAGGATGGGGGCTGGGAGTGCAGGACTGACAGCAGGCAGGGGAGAGGCCTGCGGACCTGAGCCACCTTCCTCTTGTGGTCTCGCCCCTGCCTCGCACTCCCACTCCCCTGCCACTCTTCTGTCCCCACAGCTTGCCCGCTACACTAAGGAAGGCTTCCTGCACCTGGGCGCCCTGGGGACCACCACGCTGCTCCCTGATACCCGCTGCCTGGTGGACAACTCCAAGACTCGGCTGCCCCAGCTCCTGGACTGCGACAAGGTCAAGAGCAGCCTGCACAAGCGCTGGAACTTCATCCAGGTGAGCGCTCCCTGGACAGGGCCAGTGCCAGGGCCAGCGCAGATGCTGCAGGCCACAGAGGGAAGTCTGCCACCTGAGGGTCCCCCTCAAAGTGCACCCTGGAACCCCACTCTCCCAGCCCTGTGCCGGGCTCATGGACCCAAAGCACTTTCAGGGGAAGCCGTGGGGGATTTCTGTGCGAGGCAGCCTTCCTGGTTCTGCATCAGTGCTAGGCTGGCTGGGCTCTGATAAATCCCAAGGGGGGAGTGCGGGGTGATTCCCCTGAAATCTGCCAAGTACCCCAGCCAGTAGGGTTGAGAAAGTCATATACCTTGAATATTCCAGAAAAATGCCCCTTCCCAAGTCCACACCCCACCAGTTCTCACCTGGTTCCACTCCAACTTGGCAGGGCTTACCTGTGTTCTGACTGTAGGGTCTCCAGAGGAGGCCCCCACAATCCCTCACCCTGTGCAAAGAATTGTGCTGGGATTGGCCCCCCAGGAGAAGCCATGTGCCAGCAGCTGTGGTACCGAAGCCTCTCTGACTCTCTGTCTCGCTCTCTCCTGCTCTGCACCCCTCTCCTCCCAGAATGGAGCCATCATGAATAAGGGCACAGGGCGCTGCCTGGAGGTGGAGAACCATGGCCTGGCTGGCATTGACCTCATCCTCCGCAGCTGCACGGGACAGAGATGGACAATCAAGAACTCCATCAAGTAGGGGAGGAGCAGGAGCCCCGGAGCCTGGCCCCCAGCACAGGGTCTGTCCGTCCTCTGGAGCAGCCACACTGGTCGAGACAGCTAGGGGCAAACATGTGCTTGCTGGGCCTCCCAGGGCTTCTCCAGGGCAGCACCGGGGCCTGGATGGAGACTTTATGTCCCCTTAAGCATTCAGCTGCCCACAAGCCTGCACCCTGGAAAAGCCCCCGACCCCTTCTCTGGGGAGCCAGGAGCTGTGTCTTCTGTAGCCCTGGCTGTGGGCCTGGTACCAAGGAGTGAGACTGTGCATATCTCTTCCTCATCAGCACCCACCCCAGCATCAGGATCTGGGACTGGCAGGGTCCCCTCCTCATCCTCGTCCTTTGCAGCAGCAGCAGCTTCCAAGTTCCACCCCAGCCCTCAGTGAAGTGAGGGGTGGCGGGAGCTTCAGCCACCTCCTAGCTCCCCCTCAGAGGAGGCAGCAAGACTCAGACTCAGTTTCCTCTAAGGTTGCTTCTGCCCAGATTCCTGTTCACACCCCACGGCAGCCGCCATCCCCAAACCTTCCCATCGGGGTGGTTTTGGAGGCTACAGCTCTGGACTTTGCTGGACCTTCCCTGCGATGGCCTGGATGGAGCTGAGGCTTTCTCTCTGGTCACCGGGGCACCAGGCTCCTGGTAGTGTGCTCGGGCCAGCGCTCCTGGCTGCATTGGAGGGAGCTGGAGACAGAAATAGGCTGAGAGCACAGGGCGGGCTGGGCTGGAGCCAGGCCGAAGGAGCCCTGGCTCACGGAGGCACTCCGGGCACGCAGCAGGGCCTCTGTTAGAACGTCAGGGCTGAAGCCAGCACAGCACAGGGCACCAGGAAGCGGGAAGATGCTTTGTGCTCATCCCATCAAACCCCACGCTGTGCTGGCTGGCAGGGAGCAGGCAGTCGTTTCCTCTCTTTAGAGTAATACTTTTTTCCGATTGCCCTCTGGTTAGGGTGCACTTATAAATCAGAGTTAATATATGGACGTGTGTGCATGCACCTGAGTGTGTGGCTGTGTGCTGTGTGTGGCGGGTGTGTGCAGACACGTGTGTGCACATGCATGTGCCTGGTGTGTGTGGGAGCATGTGGTGGAGCAGACATGGCCGTGTGGCCTTGGGCTTGCTGCTTAATTGCTCGTCTGGATGGGGACAAGGCTTCAGAGTGGTGCGTGGGGTTGGCCCCATGTCTCTGCCTGGAGGACATAGCTCGGCCTCGCCTGGCACAGCACCCAGGTGGAAGTCTGTCCCTCTGCTGGTCCCCATCTCTCTCCCCTGTGATGTCCCTGCCCAACCCCTGCCCAGAAGCAACCCTGTAGTTGCCCAGTTGCCCAGTGTGGGGTCACAGTGTCTCATTGGTGGCATCTTATTGGTGATCACGCCCTTCCCCATCTCCACCTTGTGAAATAAACATGTTAGCACTCCCCTAAGCAGCCTTGTGTGCATCTTGATTTGTCCAGAACCCGGGGTCAGAGGGAAGTTCTGAGATGTGGCACAGGGCCTCTTTGGTTTGGGGGATTTTGTCTTATTAAAGGCAAAAAGCCCTCTCACAGTGGGCGAAGACTGAGACAGAGCCAGCCTTCCTGCCCAAAGCGGGCAGAACTCGACATCTGACCCTTGCTTACAGGTCAGCCCCTGCTGACCCCGGGTTAGGAGGTCAGGTTGGTGCGGGAAGCCCTAAGGAAGAGCAGAGTTGCAGGGAGACCCGGCTGGCCAGCCTGACCCAGCCTTCCTGCTGCCGTCCTGTGAAGCTGCCTCTCAAGACCACAGAGCCTGCGCTGGAGACGTCCACCTCTTGGACGTCCGTGGAAAAGTGAAATATGAACGTCCCGGCCACCACCAGGTGTGTGGTTATGGACGTGGGCAGGGAGGCAGTGGGCAGGACGTCCCCTTGGCGCTGACAGCCCTTTTCCTCTCCTTGTTTGGTGTCATACAACACACACTCACATCCATCTACAGCCAATTTTCTTTTGGATTCTATGAGAATCAGGGTCCCTGAACACATCGATGGGAAATGTGCCTGTTTGGAAATGAGGTGTTTGTGAACCCTAAACATCAGAGTCTCAGGGCAACCATGAAGGGAAAAGAGCCGGGGTCTAGGGGAGGGGTGGAGCTGTGGAGCCCCCACGCTGCCTGCACACGGGGCTCATCCGTATCCCCAGGACACGGCCAGCAGCGCATATCCTGGAACTTGAGGGGGATGAACGTCCCTCCTCAGCACCATGTCACAGGAGGCGGGACATCTGGGCTGGCTTCCGTGTGTTTTGGGGGTGGGAGCGGGTCAGGGCCTGGAGCCTGGGCTGCCCACTCAGCCCTCCTCCCAAAGGCTGGGGCTCCCTGGGGAGACTGGCTGGAGCATGAGGCCAGCACCCCGGTCAGCACCCTCTTCCCCCACAGGGTCCTACCTGGTCTGATGGCATTGGGAATGGCGGGGTCCAAGGCAGAGAGGAGGAACCACAAAGCCAGAGGGAGGGAAGAGAGGAAAGAGAAGCGGGGCCCTGGGAGAGACTGTGGTCCTGGGTCCTTTGGGAGAATTGGAAAATTCTGGAAACTCCATATCTCTGCAAGGTGGTGGCCGGGACAGCAAGTTGCAGGTGTTGCGCTGCTGGGGAAGCTCTGCTCCTTCACCAGCGCTGGCAGTTGGCACCGTCTGTGTTTGAGAGGGCCGTGCGTCTGTGGCAGGGCGCACAGCCCAGCACTCCCACACGCCCTGCCTGGGCCCTTTCTCTTTAGTTGAATTTCTCCCTCGATTTGTACGGCAACAAAGTCACGGATGGTATTTTTGATAAATGCCCAAGCGGCCAAAGCCAATGTCTTTGCATCTCCATATTATTTCTCAAATTTTGTTCTTTATGGTTTTGCTGCTTCTGGTAGCAAGAAGGAGAAGAAATAGAAGGACTGAGGCAGCATGTGGGGCCGGCAGCTGCCATCACAGGCCACTGCAGTCCTTTTTACCTGGGTTTCTGGAGCCTTTTTTTTCCCCCATCTGCCATCTTTTCTACCATTCTTGGAAAATATCCCAGTTTCACAACATGAGGCCCAGGCAGAGCAGACCACCCTCCCAGGGCCGTCCCGGGGGGCACCCCCCGCTGCCACCCCCGGGCGCTCCTGGCCACTCTGCCTGGAAGGCGGCTCGGAGGGGACCTATGAGCCCCAGCTAGGAGCGGGCAGGGAGGGCTGGGAGCCCCACTGTTTACACACAAACATAAACTGGCTTTTGCTCCTAGGTTGGCTACAGCTATGAGATGAAAGTATATTGACGGGTCTACAAAGTAAAGTTTCAGTCAACAGTGGTCCCTCGGTGCATGGTTGTGTCACTTGCTGACGTGAGCCTGCTGCTGCTGCAGATGTCAGCGCGGTACGCACCCCCCTAGCATGGGTTCTTCTGTGCCCTGCGACGACACGATTCTCTCCCCACGTGTCTGCACTCCAAGGATTTTGAAGTGTTCACTCACTATTCATTTGTCAACACGTTTACTGAGTGCCTACTGTTTGTCTAGGCTGTGCCTAAGAGTAAAGCAGTGAGCACAACAGACAGGAATCCTGCTAGCTTTCCCGAAGGACAAACACGTTTATATTAAAGTCTCCGCACTCTTCTTCTCTTTAACCTGTGACAATTACCGTAGAACTCTGTAGCATCAGTGCTGTCATTACGTAAACTCAGACCTGAAATAATGTTCAGTCCTCACCTGGTCATCCAGATAATCCAGAATATACTCATATTGATTTCTAGATAATTATCAAAATGAAGATACAAAATTTGAAAGTCTTATGGACGTCTTATACGTGTGAAGTCAGAGGATCCCCAGGGCCGGGGAGCCCCAGCTGGAGATGCACATCTGGAATCCCTTCCGTTACACCCTTTATCTCATGGAGCGTTTGATAAGAACAGGGAACCAGCGTTCTAATAAGGCCTCTTATCTCTAGGAGGAGATCATTGTTCCCACAGGAAGGTGCTTCCAAGTCTTGCTTTTCTTTCTTCTGTCCATTCCCAAGCTTGTTACCTTATGTGAAAAAAGCAAAAGCACGTAACAGAAATCATGGGATGTTTTTTCTTTTGATTTCCAATATGGAGTAAAAGCTTCTTCCATTGGCGAGCATTGTTCAGAGTGAGGTTTAGGGATTCTTGGTGAACTTTCTCAGTATCGGTTGTACTGATCCTCTCACTGAATACATAGTCCATCAATAGCTAACATTAAATCCTGTCCCTCCATCCTGGAAGCTTGGGCTCTCATCCGGTGTGCAGCTTGGAAAGGCAGGAAGAGCCAGGCTCCCTTCCACCAGGAGCATTCGGCAGTCGGGCACCCATGTGAGCTTCAGGCGTTGAGATTTCTTCAGCAGCCTTTGGCACGGCCGCTGGTTAGTTATCAGGCAGGGGGCTAATTATAATCCATGCAGATAACAAAATGTGCAGGCTGCTCGGGTTTTAAATTATTCGTCAGTCTTTTTGTCCTTGAAAACACACAAAGAAGATTGAAGCCTCCAGTCTTAGTCCAAGGCACCAAACCAAGTTTCTGATGCCAGAGTTCCCATGTCTGAATTTCTCTGCACCGATACAAGCCACGACCTCTGTAATTCAGAAGTCGTGATTCTTGAGTAAAGCATGACTGTACATTTGCGCACACAAACAAGGCTTAGATGACAAGTTTAACCTGAAAGCTATTTAACTGCACGCTTCTCAGTGCCTCAGAGGCCCTGGTAATGGATGCATCCTGTGGGATTCCCATTCGCCATCAGCCAACATGTGAGAGGCCTACTTAGTTGGGGGAATCCCTGACCCGTGTGGGTCTTAGTGCTTGCCACTGCAGCATCGCCAGTCACACCTGCCAGAGAGAACTTAAAGGAAAGGCTTTTTATTTCAGAAGATGTTGACCGGGAGACAGAGGATAAAGTCCCTGATCGACTGAGGGCTGGGGTTTATATAGGAAATGAATTGGGGGGACGGGATGTAGGGTCTTCAAGCGTGGTAGACAGCTGCTTCTGATACAATCTCAGTTCATCATGAATGGCGAGCTGTAAGGGAAAACAAGTCAGTTCTGTAGTGTGTTCACGCGTGTGGGAGGGTTTACATTTATAATCCCTTGACATGGATCCACCACTCTGCTACTTCCACCTACATTTTAGATGTTCTTTGGAGAGTGTCCCCCACGTGGGGCCCGTGTGGAAACCAGAGGAAAGTTCGGGTTCAGGTGTATACTGAAACTGTACTGAAGCACCCACTGTTTTAGAATCCAGATCCCTTTGCCCCAGAAGCCCAACCCTAACCTACCATGAATTTGCCCAAATTAATGAGGTTTTAAGTGTTTCTAAGAGCTGTTTCCGCAGTTCTTTCAGAGGATGGAATTGCAGTTCTGGGCCCTGGAGAGAATCTGCCTTTCTTCCTGGAGCATTTCCATGAGTCAGTAGCCAACGAGGTCACAGCTGGGCATGAGCAGGTGCCACAGCAAGGGCACCAGCTTGGCAGGATCCTGGGGAGGGAACGCAGAAGCTCCTGGAGCAACCCTGTGCTTGCCGTCCACAGCCAGCGCCTCTGCTCCCCTAGGTTCCCCCAGTGCATGTGACCATGTCCTGGGGCCACCTGGAAGCCTGCCTCACTCTTGACCACAGGGAGATAAATAACAGTGATGGTGGCTTGGGGCAAGAGGATGTAGTCAGCACTGGTGCTTAGTGTGGCTGGAAGTTCTTGCTGTTTGTTTTTGTTTTAAGTTGTCTGCTTTTTAAAAGAATTATCCAGAGGGGTGAGGAGGCTGGGCACCAGAGCTGGATGTTGGGAAAGGTGAGTATTTCTCCCCAAAACAGGGAGGGTTTTTGCCTGCTTTCCCCAGGTCCTGTTGGTGGTGGGCTGGCTCCCTCACCAGGCTGCTCGGTTAGGGCAGGGCTAAGGATCCTGCCAGGTGAATGGGATAAAACTGTGTAATTATCACTATTAACTGTAGCCACCACCGTTATTTGAGTGCTTACTATGTGCCAGGCACTATGCAAAGGTTTTCACAAACCTCTTAACTCTCCCAGGAATCTTGCAGGCAGGAGCTATAGTTTTCCCTTTACAGATGAGGACCCTGAAACTCAGAGATTGATAACATGTCCTAATATTGCGCAGTCTGTAAGTGGCAGGTTTGGGTTTCAGAGCCCCGTCTGTCTCATTCAAAATCTCTTGTTCACTCGGCTACACTGCCCAGCAAGTGGCTTTGTTGTGCCGCCTCTCATATGAAAACCTCAGGTATGAAGAACCAAGTGTGTCGAGCTTCGGAGACACGGACCTGAGAAGAGGCCCTGTCAGTGTCTTGAAAAATCAGGGGCCCTGGGAGGTGGGGGTGGGAACATCAGCGGGAGAGGATTTGGACTTGTTTTGCATGACCCAGAGACCGGGCCATGGCTTTCACTCGGAATGACCTCGTTTCTGGCAGAACCATCCTCCCAAAGCTGGGAT